CTATATATATCTAGGACCTCCTTCACACGAGATAGATTGTAGATCACACTCGAAGAAAATATAATCATGAGCCTGAAGGAGATGAGAAATTAGAGAGGCAGCTTGACAAATCTTCCAAGTTCCATCCTCTCTTTTTAAGGCAGGTTTTGAAGTTCTTAGCTTTCCCCTTAAATGCTATGGCATGGAAGTACTTAGTGTTGCGTTCCCCTTCTTCCTTCCATTTCAACTTTGCTTTTTGTTCCCAAAAACTGTTCTGGCAATCATACAAGAATCCCAAAGCAGCAATACTAGAGTTAACAACATAGGAAGCAGGACATAAGGGAGAGCCAATCACAGGTGCAGAAGGCTCTATCAATTAGTCTTTCCCATACTGCTACCTTGCCAATTATTTGTCCATGTGAATTTGGGTCCATGTAGATTAATTTTAATTGATGTGTTGTAACAAGAAACTAATGATATTAATGTTAATGACTCACTGAATGCCCAAACACAAACTAATAGACATGTTTAATTGATATGGAATCAATAACTGCATCTGGATTGCCTTCGGTTATCATGTGCTAATAAAATATTCAGTCAGACATTTAAGTATAAGGATTCTTAGATACGCTCCATTTGGGGATGCAGAAAACATCAACTCGACTTACAAGTTGGAAAAGGAAAGATCTTCACCTTGTAGGAAGTACTTTTCCAATCAAACTTTTAGTGCTGTCTGCCATGCCTAGTTACAATGTGCAATCAAACTTCTCCCGTAAGTTGTCTAGAATTTTGCGCAACAAGAGGGGGAAAAAAAAAACAGCACTTGATTTCTTGTGAATGTGCCAAGAAGGATATATATAAAAGAGGGAGGGTTGAGAGTGAAGAATCTCAAAGGGCCAAAATTTAGTTTATATATCACGAAACTTTGATAGGGCCTCATCACCAACAAAAACTGTTTGTGGGTTAAAGTGGGTAACGGTAATAATTTTCCTTTTGGTTTTGATAGATGGACTCCATTAAAGGAACCGCTCATTCACCATGGCCACAATGGAGATCGAGTCTCACATGAATGAGTCTCGAATAGGAGGTTGGGATGATACTAAGAAAAGGGAACAATATTTCCATAGAGAAGTGATCAATCAAATCATTCTTGTTACGCCTCCGAAGCAAACTGGTTTCATGCTAAGCTTTGTCTCTGGCTTGCTTTTCCAGAGAACTTTTCAATACCTGAAGAGGTGCCATCTTTGACCTTACTGGTCCTTAGTGGCTTATTTAGATGGCTTTCGTTCTGTACTTCTTCTGGTTCAATATATGCATATAATCATCTTGTTGCTCCGTAGTTTCTTGCATGGTGGCAGTGTCTTGACTGGCGGGTAGCATCGGTACTCTATTTTGCGTTTAGATTCTTGGATTTTGTGTGACGTGGTTTTGCTTTTAGGTCTTATGTTAAAGTCACATATAAACAAAAAATGTGTGCCTTATGCTACAATTATATTGAGTCTACCTTAAATGTACTTAAGGTTGGGTTCGTCTTGATGTAGCTGTGAGGTCTCATGGAAGATAGTGGTGGAAACTAGATTAAGGCTTGGGTTAGAAGTTGAGCATCATGCCTACTACTTCGACGGATTAAGTTTCAATGGTTTAGAACTTTGTTGGGCTTGCATGAAGGTTGGACTTTGTTATGAAGGCTTAGAGCCCTTTTTACCCAAAGACACTCCCTTGAGTAAAAATCTTGACATTCTCTTTGAGGGGTGAAGTTCTCTCACATTTGTGCCCTGAGATTGGAAGCATCATCACTTATAAAGTTATAATTGGATACTTTAACTCGTGCAAAAAAAAAAGAAAAAGAAGCTTTTTAGACCGGTTAAAAACAGTTTTTTAGACCTTATATGAAATCAATCTAAATAAGAACGGTATAGAAAGTCAAGTACTTTCTAGAGCACAGACATAACTGATTTTGAAAGTTATTTTTTTAGATTAGTTTCCAAGATGAGCTCTAAAAGGTAAATTTCTTATGAGGTCTGAAAATGAGGCTTTCTGGGCCATACGTGGGCATGTGCAATATAAAAAGTGACACTTATTTTTGAAAGAATAAATAAATAGACATTTTTTTGGATTGGAGTTTATTTTAAAAAATCAACCCTAATTCCAAAAAATATCAAATGGTTGTATTTTTTGAAAAAATCAACACACATAATTTAAGTAAGCTATGAAGATTGTAAATAAGTCATAAAAGTCACAAGTGATATGATAAAAACTCGTAGGAAGTCTCCTTTCTTTAGGCAATCTTCATATTCAAAGACATCCACTCTTCCATACTTTATTGATCAATACATACAAAAAATTTAATATGATCGTGACTTCAGATAGTTGATTACTCGCGTTGATTTTGAAACCCCTCTTATAGAACGTACACATATCTTCTTAAAGCTGACATGAGCTAGGAGCTTGATGTTCTGAGCTAAGCTTTTTCCTCTTCTTTTGTGTAGTTTTTCCAATAGACTTGTTTGTTATTTTCGTTAAAAAAGAAAAAAAAAAAAAAATAAGGCACTGGCTAAGGACAAAATGAATGGTGACTAATGATCACATAAATGGTACCCTACGCTATCTTGCTCAAGAGGCAGAACAAATGAATTCCCAAGACATGGTTCTTAGGGAAGCCTCCTTCAGCTGGAAGCCTTTTCTAGTTCATAATTTTAATTCTACCTCCGATTCTAAATATAATAACTAATTAGAGGGATTGTATTTGATTATAAATATAAGATTTTAATCGACTTTGTCTCCTAAATTTATAATGTTTTCTCCAAAATATTCCTATTGATGGTAAGGGTTTCCATGAAGAAGTAGTTCTAATATACATCACTAAATAGGATAATTTAGAAAAGTCAACACACATTTGTTATAAATAAATAATTTAACTAATTTTTTTAATCTTCCCAGATTAATTATTTATCTCTTGTATTAAGAATAGGAATAGTCATAAGCAGTGTTATCTTAGGTTTTCCGTCTTTTGTTAAACTTTCATTTCATACCCTTATTATTAAAAAAATGGAAAAAGGGAATGGTATTTTTTTAGTAATTGTAAGAGCATAATGTATAAATATATCTTTTACATATATTTGAGGTATAGTGAATGTATGACAGTTTACTTTGGATTTACGAGTGTCTCGTGTTTAAGCTTCTAGAGAATCAATGTTCAATTTAATTTAAGGTCTAAATTCTACTAGTTCTTAATTTTAATTTTTTTTTTTGGAAAAATTTTGAATGATGTATAAGTTGAATGATTTAGATCAAATATACATACCTTCCCCATTCATAAAGAGAACAATTAAAGCCCATTAATTTTAAAAGGTGTTTGCTTGAAATAGTTAGAGATGAGCATCATATGCCCATTTATGAGATGAAATCCAGGCCGTCTGTTTTTAATATATTTAACTTAGATGGCTTAATTATAAAATTTGGCATTTTTTGAAGTTAAAAGTTTATTACATTTTCTTTCTCATAGAAATATTATCTTAAAAGTAGAATATAAAAGTATTATTTTTATTATATATTTTTATTGAACTAAAATATTTAAATCATAAATCAAAACAAAATAAATCGAAACCATCTTTTTGTAACAATAACCATCTAGTTTTAGCATCGGATGTGAAATTTCTGATAGTCCATTCATTTGGAGCCCACATGTCCAAAATGTTTGGGGTCACAGTTCTCCAGCCACTAATATTATCCACTTCCGTGGACCCACACTACTGAGTGTACAAAGTTTGTGCCTCTTGTTTAGGATACCTGATTCACTTCTGACCCTTTTTGGGGTTTGGAATCCGGCATCAACACACTCGATTCTATCATCATTATGTCCTTCTCATGTATAAACAATTTAACCTCTTAATAATAATTAAATGGAGCAAATGGGTAAACTTCTTTGAAAGTGAGTGCAACAGAATATTATTTAGCTTTCGAACTAATATACTAATATGATCTAACTATTAAATTAATATATATCACATTCGGTCTTAAATATAAAAAAGTAGTTTGCAGTGTAAATTACACCATAAACTATCTCTTATATTTAGAACTAAAAATACTATATGTATTTTAACATAAAAAGTAATTAGACTAATTAGTATATATGATCTAGCTGTTGTCAGAATTAGACTAGACTGGCTGATTTAACTAATTAGATTGAGAACCGACCATACATCTAGTATGAAACATCCCTAGATTAGCTAAAAGTGAACCAATGAAAATTGGTGGAAAACCTGTTAGAATTATGTGTCATATATATTTGGCTAATTATGGAAATGTATACTATATGTGATGATTTTTGATGGGGTAAAGAAGTAATTTTACCCCATGACATTATTTTTCAGGTTCTCCTAGCACCCCAATCTTTTTAATAATGCAATTTTACCCACGATCTTTTTATTTTGAATGTAATTTTACTTTTGATCTTTTTATTTTGGTTCACTTGAGAAATAAGATCAAAGGTAAAATTACATTCAAAATAAAAAGATCATGAGTAAAATCATACCATTAAAAAAATTAGAGTGCTGGGTGCATATGAAAAATAAAATGATAAAATTGCACCTAATGAACAACTTTCATTATAGTATTGATGTGATTAATTATAAATTTAGCATGTATAACAAGGATATACATATAAATGTTATTTAAAATATTTTTATGCTACATAGTTTTAAATTATATTAATTGAATTAAAACTAATCATACTATGACACAACCATTAAGGGGTATTTGAATTAACCTTTTGAAAATAATTTTATTAAGTATGAAATAAATATGTGAAGAAAACTTATGTAAAAATATTTTTTCAAGTGCCCCGGAGTTCCCAAACATCCCCTACTTGGCTTGGTTTTGAAAACATTGGTGCAAAGTTAAGGCTCAAAGCAATCTGATTCTTTTCAGGCATGAATAGACCGGAAGATCATATCGGATAACGATTTTAGATGCTTCATATTGTAAATAGTAGCAAGCTCAATGATTTAAAATCAACCCAATTGTCAAAAGAATTATGGCTTTTACCATTTCAGAATTTGCATTTACTTGCGGTGGGACAAATTAACAAAACCAGGACCAATCAAAACAACTTCCCTCTATAGCTAGAATTGTACAGACTATAAAATTTTTCCTGAAGCGGCCGCATAAGAGAGTAACATCAGGAATCACCGAAGAGGCCAACAAAATCACAAGATATCAGCCAGAAGATTTACAAGTTTCAACAACTCTCCTGATCCGTTCAATAATTAAAGGAACATCCTCCAAAGCAAAAGTAGTAAAACAAATACGAAACCATCCTGGTTCTATGCAATGACAAGCTGAACCCGGAGTTATACTGATCTTGGCAACACTTAGAAACTTCTCCCATAAGTCAAGTTCCCCTTTCTCACTGTACGGGCGGATTAATTCACTCATATCAGCCCAACAGTACACACCAGCACTACTCTTAGCACACTTGATTCCTAGTTTACTCAAACCAGCCTCAAATTCTTTGTGAATTTCTCTGATTCTCTTCTGGTTGGTGTCGATGTACTCCTGAACAAATCTTTGATCTGAAAGCATTGAAACAACAAGCCGCTGGGTTGGAGCAGATACTGAGCAAAATCTAGTCATCTTCTTAGCAGCAGCCAAAACACTCTTGTTAAATGAATATATAGCCCCAACTCTAAAACCAGGAAGAGCGAAGTCCTTTGACAGGCCATATATTATATGAACCCGGCTCTTGTCTATATATTCTAAATCAAGAAGTTCAGCAATACTCACAAACTTTTCACTCCCATACACGGAGCCTGCATATATTTCATCAGAAACTATATGAATATTTTTCTCCTGGGCAAATTCTAGAAGACTGTAAAGCATGTCCTCTGATAGCAGGTTGCCAACGGGGTTAGATGGATTAGAAAAGAGAATTCCACGAACTTTAACTCCTCGTTTTCTTGCTTGACTATATGCTTGTTCGAGAGCAGTGATACTTAAATTGAAATTGTCCGTACTACGACAAAAAACAGGAATCAGCTCCACTCCTGTTCGCCATCTGACATCCCTGTCAAAACTGCATATTTCCTTCTAGGTCAGCTTCTAGAACTACACAAGTAAGAAGAATTAGATGCTTGAAAAGTTTTCACACCATCAATTACCCTGGATAGTAAGGTGTGGGGACAAGGAAAGCATTTCCATGATCAGCCAAGCAGAAAGATAGTATTTCAATGGCAGGAGTAGCACCAGATGTCAATACAATATTGGATGGGTCAAAGTTCACAGACCCTCCCAATACCTGAGACATAAAATTTGACAAGGCCTGCAAATTAAGTGAAAATAAATAAATAAAAATTAAATGTATCAGATACAACAATGGCACAAGCCTAGATGAATTGCAATATAGCTATCAAATACAATCAAATAAACAAGGTCGAGAGCATAAGGATGGAGCAAATGACTTTAGTACATGAAGCAAAATGCCTCTTTTCTGCAGCAAGCTGTAGACATCTATGCTATGCAAAATGGTAGCCAGTAAGCATATACGCTTCACAAGTTCAAGTTTCTAATTCAGCGTTTGAGAATGAAGTTAACCTAAAGTTAATAATGCAAATTCGCAATTATTGAAGTGAAAGCGGAATAACAACACGGAAGGGCATTACCAGCAAAGGCAACTATCCATTAGGAAGTAGATATCGGCATACAGTCAAAAAGGAAAACTGAACTATACAATCCGCAATCCAGAACAAGTTGACACTTGACATAATTGTTTTAAAAAAAACAATAATAAATATGGACATTGACATTGAATAGGTTTTCAGAATTAAAAGGAGGAAACTACAAATATTAGTTTCGACATGCAAGTATTTTCCAAGTGTATTCCGGAATCAAAACGGCACTGTAAAACTCAACTACTAACAAAATGTATTTTACCATTTTCATTTCCTCTAACCCATCAAATGGCTGGTACATTGCAATCCCATTGATACTCAAATTGACATCATCGGTTCCAATAAGGGATTCCTTCACGTTTGCTGACAACCACTTCTCAATTAAATCCAAACACAACTACCATAAACGAAAGCTCCAGGTTAGCTCAAGGCCCCAAAAAGAAAAAGGAAAAAAAAAAACTAAGTCCGTGTGATAAACTCACGGAAGAAGCAAAACAGAAACTAACCTTATTATCAGACAATCCGAGCTGAATTATCCCATCAGGGTTGTTCAGCGGATCGTACGGATCCAGAGACACTCTATCCAGACCAATGTAATATGGCGAAGAATCAGGCTTCGCAATCATATTCGCGAGGGAGGACACCCGAACCTGACCAATGGATCCACGGCTGGACAAATTGGTGCGGGACGATGATCGAGGGAGGTCCGGGAGATTAGAGGAGGACGAAGAGGGGGACGGAGGATTCGAGGAATTTTTGGAACGGTTCCGTTTGAGATAGAGTTGGAGGAAGTAGAAGAGAGCACAGGGGATGAGAGAACCAAGAAGAAGGCCTCCTCTGCCTTGGACGACGCCTTGGAGCGGCACTATGAGCCTCATGCCTGTGGCTCCCGCGGCGCTTCGATTCTGCTCGTCGGTTTCAGTGGTCGAGGATCGGGTCAGGGTCATGGAATCGGCGGCAGGACCCACCGGAGATTGATGCCGGATTTGGTCCGTGAAGCGGAGGAGATACTGGCGCCGCTGGAAGGCTCAAGATTTGGACAGCGGTGGGCTGATGAGGTCACACTCACCAACCTGTGTGCTTCTTTTTGTTCTATCCCGGCGCTCCTTTCTTCGTGAACGCTTGATTTTTCCTTCGGATAAATCGAAATAAATAAAAATATATTTCGTTTTTTTTTGGCCACGTATTTCCTTTTCTTTTCTGCCAACGTGTTTATTTCGTTTATTAATTTTAGTGAGTTAATTGAATATATATATATATATATATATATATATGCATTTAAAGAAACTTGGGCTCTTATATTTGCTCTTCCTCTTCCTCCATTATTTATTTGTTTATTTTAATAGTGAAAGAAAGCAGAATGAAATTAAAAAAATCATGCAAAGGAATTAAGTGAAATTGAGGTATCCCCAAACCATGCTAGACTAGTATTTCAACTTCAAAAGTTCCTCTCTCTTCTAACATGTTCAATATTAATCAACCAATCAGTTTAAGCATGTCATGGCTTTTGTAAATTACATTTCAATTATCATTAAGATTGTGATTTCCATTCCATATAAGCTTAATTGCATCCAAATAATCATTTCTCAAGCAAACTCATCTATATTTCCCATCCCATGCCCTTGTAAGACTAATAAGGCATGCTCAAAGACTCAAAAGTTTAGGCATTAAAGGATTTTCATTTTGTGTATTAAACGTTACTAAGTTTTTTTTTTCCCTTATGATTTTGAAAGTATTGAAAACCAGACTGATTAATACTGATTGAGAAAGTAAGTCAAGAGTCAGTAAATTAGATAGAATCAACTTGGGAGTCAAACTGGTGCATAATTAAAAAAAATTAAAATTTTATTATACCATCTAAAGACTAAATATCACTTCAATACCTTGAATTACTAATGAAATAATCAAATATTTATAATTTCAACGTTCTACACAATTCCTTTGACAAATTGATATTATAATATCATGCTACCAAACCACTAATTATTTATCCTGGCAAAATATCAGATATATGATAACAAAATATTCCTCTTCACAATTGTTCAATCACTAAATAATAATTATCAAATGTAATTTAAAAAAAAAGAAAAGAAAAAAGTTTTTCATCAAAATAGCTTTAAAGAAAGAAAGAAGCAACTCGAAACCCAACAAACTGATCAAATTAACCAGATTGGTCCAGGTCATCCTGAGTCAAATTTTTCCACCTCATGAGCAAATTAACTGATCAAATACTTGGCCGATATGCAGCTCGATTTTCAATATAGTGATGATCCTTAATAATACCACCGCATTTGACCACACCATTCCTATGCTCTGTGAAGAATTTGTGGTTTTGATTTTTCTCTCCCATTTTATTAGTTAGTTACATATACCCTTTTGATATCTGTTTATAGGAGACAATGCACATTAATTAAAAAATCAGTTAAAATTAATTAGAGCTAATAAATATGTAGAAAACATTATCTCTGATGCTAAGATCTAATTTATAATACAATTATAAATAGAAACAAGTTATGCTCAAAAAGTATCTCTTATACAAAAGATGGGAGGAGTATCATTCTTTTCAATGGTAACTTTTTTGGGCAAATTTAATTTAGTAGTAATGACGATCAATTGTTGTCACTAGTTAGTTCCGCGGCATAAAAGCTAGCTCCACTTTAAGTGCAAGGTCGTAAGTTTATTCATATTTATAGTCTCATGTCAATAACATTCATCCTTATAATTTTACAAAAAACGATAACCAACTATTCAAAAGTGGTCAAAGAGAGAATAATTATGTGCTTTGAAAAAAAAATTTGACGGGAAAAAAAAAGAAAGTTTATTATTATTATTTTTTAAGTGAGGGTATTTTCTTCTTATTTTTTTCCCAATCCTCCTTTCAGCAAAGGATGATTAGATAAAGAATCAAACCAATGGCACCAAACTCTAATTTTTCAGGTTAAAACAGATTGGTTGGGATTAATCAGTTTGATTTGACTTGGCTTATTCTGCGTTATGCCAGAGTGGGGTGTGTGTGTTTTTTTGGCCTGGGGGGGTTTGGGGAGTGTAATTCTGGATAACTTCAATTTAAATTTATATTTATTGGTCAAAATAAAAAAATATAATATTCTGACTATCCTTCTAGTTTACATTAATTACACATACTTTTTTTCCATTTTAAAAACATACAGTTTAGTTCAATTAGTTAATACCGGCAGGTATTCTAAAAAGATTCTAAAAATATTATTTTTAATTAAAATTTATATTGAAATAAATTTTATTTACTATTTTACCCCTCATTTTAATAAATTTCTAAATTATATTTTTACAGTTATAAGAATTTTATTCAGTTAATATAAATATAAAAGACTTGATTAAAAATTAAACTAATTTTTTCAATGAGCATATATACTTGAGTACATACGTTTATAAATTTTCGTAGTAAAAAAGCGTTTAAAAGTTTTGAATTATAAATTTAGATAATTTATAAAATCTTTCAAACTTATATTATTTAGATTTATGATAAACAAAAGCTATGTATTTGAAATATCTTTTTAGAATATAAAAGAAATCAAATTAAATAATTTCCAATAAATATGATAAAATATTAAAATTATAAAATTTTATGATTTGGATCAGAATTAATAAATTTTATAACATATTAGAAATTTTAAAAATATATGTGTTACAATTATTTTTTTGATTTTATAAAGAACGAATGTCTAAATAATTATTAAGTTAAAAAATGATATTTTGGTCCAAAAAAATTTAAAGTCGAACTTAATAGTCAACTAACAGTTTGGATGAATAGCAATGGAATCTTAAATATAAAAAAAAGTTTCTATAACATACATTTTAATTTTAAAGGAGATTTATACACGTTCTCAAAATAGATGGAAAGTTTGTGTATTTGAAGTGAAATAGAAGGGTGATCAATATATTTTACTCAAATAAAAATTGATATTTATAAACTTAGACGTTATCAACTCCATGTTAAAGATATTTTATTTTAAAAATCAATTTAACAATGTTTTTCTGAATTAGTTTTCCTAAAATATGAAAAAAAGCCTCTTTTCTATATATGCGAAAATGTTCCATTAACATCCAGATTTGTAATATTTGCATATCCAAGTATCAATTTATTTAAATCGCAAAATATATCTCAAATGATGACATTATTCTTTAAGTTGTCATACCTCATGTTCTAAATATAAGAACTAGTTGGGAGTCCTAAATATAAAATATTAATTCACTTTGTTTTTTCTATTTATAATGTATTCTAAAAAATATCCTTATTTATTGTAATGTATTTCCACCCAAGTAAAATTTCAGATAATTTAGGAAACTTAACACACATTTGTTACTAATAATTAACTTAATTAATTTTTTTAATCTTTTCAAAATTAGTTATTTTTTTTATATTAAAAATCCGAGATAATATTACTAATGAGGTTGGCTAAAAAAGAAGGTTCTAACATTTAATAAGGAAAAAAACCATTGTGTTAAAACTTGAAATATTGTACCAAAAAAAGCTTAAGCTATGAATTGACCCATGCGTCAATTATTTGGGTTTAGGCCTTATATTAAAATAGATTGACCTGCAACAAGGACAATAAGGATGCTGATTCACCTAAAAATACAAGAAGAATAATGATTGGAGAAAAATATTAGAAATAAAAGGCTATCGTTTTGAGTAGTTTGATTATGTTCAAACACACAAGAATTGAAATTAAAAAAAAAAAAAAGAAAGGTCAAACCAAACCCAACCTTACTTGGTTTTAGTTAAGTTTAAGTTTCTTTCAACAATTTAAATACTTTTTCAAGTGCATTTAACACTTCAACAATTCATCTGGTATTTTAAAATATTTTTCTGAATATAACACCCTAAGTTAGGGTGTAGTGTGAGAGTATTTAGTGTTACACCTTACTACTAAAGTGACTTAGAGTTCAATTAGAACCATTTTAAACCATATTGGATGGCCTTGGGTTCAAAAATATCCAAAAAACATTGATTTTCGGATTTTTACCATTCATGTGGTAAAAATCCAGTTTTCTGATATAACTTTGAAAAATCATAACTTAATCCAAAAAAAATTAAAATGGAGTGGTTCAAAATTCTGTGAAAAGCTCTTTGAATTCATTTTCAAGAAAAAATAATCTTAGAAATTAATTCTGTATGAAAAAGTGCCAGATCTTTATGAAAGTCAACTCTGTCTTTTTAGTAAAAATCCTTTTTTCAGATTTTGGACCTTAACTTTGAAAAATCACCAAAAATCGTATAGCTAGCTATTTTTAACGTGCTATCCATTAATTTGAAGCTTATGATGTGAACTTTAAGCATACCAAATTTCGTGAAGAAATTCGTTCGGAAACTTAATAAAAACGTAGCTCCAAGTTAGCGTCCTGCTTAGGGTCACAGCATCCCATCATTATACATTTACATAACCAAAAATATAATTGTTTCCTCATGGTTCACCACCACATTTTTCCTTGAATTTGCAGTTTCTATTTTTGTGATTCAACCCTAAAATGTTAGGTTATATATGGGGAATGAGATTTCAATGAAATCCTAGTAGTAAGATCAATCAACCAAAACATCAACTTGCACCATTATAAAGCATTTCACATTAGCTATCATAGGATAACTAATCTTTTTATAATAGGCAACCTCAACATGCAAGGCCATGACAACAAATGCAAGGAGCAATCATATCACAATCATCATAGTTCAACCATACAATAACAAGCATTCATGTCATGAATAACAATGCAAAGTTAACATTAGTGGCTAATTAAATCCCACTACTTTAATCCAAAAGCTTTTTGCTTCTTTGATCTTCTTCTTCTCCTCCATAATTAACAAACCTTAACATCACAAACCATAAAAGGGGCAGCAATATTACCAATCAAACCATATCAAAAATCAATAACAAAACTCAATTAAACCCTTGCCCTTTAAAACTTTAACCTTTGATCTTTAATTTTTAAGCTTTGTTTCCTTGAGCCCTAAAAATTCTTTCTTAGTTCCTTCTTACATGATTTTTCATGTAGAATCCAAATATGGGCTTGGATTTAAGAAAATAAAATTCCTTCCTCAAGAG